CTGGGGCTATATAGCTTACTGCAGTCATCAAATAGGTTTTTTTTTTTTTTTTTCTTTTGGAGAGGTTTTTGCTATAGGGTATGTGCATTTGCCAGAAAGCCAGAGACAGAAAGCAAGAAATCACCCCCAAGGGGGGATGGCCACGCCACAATCCCTTCTCCTTCATTCTCTTCTCTGGATGTTGGGCATGCACGCACACACACCCGGCGTGAGTTTAAGCCACAGAGTCCGGGACTTGAACCGCAGTCGACTACATAAGAGTCCAGCGACGAAGCCATTACGCCAACTGCTGGTCCCTCAAATAGGTATTTTTAATGAATTTTAAAACGTTTTTATTATTTAAATTTATTTATTTACATTCATTTACTGTATATATTACTGATATATATTACAATATACAAAATGAGAATCCAGAATACACTGTATATTGGCTCAATCAAGCATATCAACATATGTGTTATCATCAACAAATAATTTTCCATTTCTCATTTCCTATGTATTTTGAATTTTCCCCATCCTTGATTCCCTATCTCTCACCCTTTACCATCTCCCACCCTCCTCCCACCCTGTCTATGGTATCAATGGTCGCTTTCTATGTGTCCACACCCCATTTTATTGATTCACTAAAGATCTTAATCTAAATATTTTGAATAGCAAGCACAAGTGATATATACATATGCAGGAACGCAATTTTGACTTTAGACATAAACCTCAGTGAGTAGAATGAACATACTATAAAGTAGCACCTAGCTGGGGCTATATAGCTCACTGTAGTCATCAAATAGGTATTTTGATGCATTTAAAAAATTTCAATAAAACAGTTTTGTTTTATTTTATTTTATTTTATTTTATTTTATTTTATTTTTTGGAGAGGTTTTTGCTATAGGGCGCATGCGCTCGCCAGAAAGACAGAGAGAGACAGAGAGATGGAAAGTGAGAAATCACCCTCCGGCGGGATGGCCACTCCACAATCCCCTCTCCTCCATTCTCCTCAGGATCTTGGGCACGCACGCACACACACCCAGTGTGAGTTTAAGCTGGGACTCGAACCGCAGTCGACTACATGGGAGTTCAGCGACATAGCCATTACGATAACTGCTAGTCCCAAGAAAAATAGTTTTAGGTTTTCTTTTTCCTGAACCTTTTTTTGTAACTTAATTAATTTACATTCATTCCCTAAGCATCTTCACAGCATACAAAATGTGATTTCCCATCCAGAATATACTGCACAGTGACTTAATTATCTATGTTATCATAAAAAATTTTCCAATTCTAGTTTCATATATATATTTTTTTCACCCCTATTTCTGACCCTCTGTCCTTTCCCACCCTCTTCTCACACTATCTCTGGTGTCTAAAGTAGTCTTCCATTCCTTCCTCCCCTCACATTGTACTGATCACACAATTTCTTAAATAATCTAACAACTTTCGATAGCAAGTTCAGCTGGTAATTTCAAGAAAAGTAGTTTTAACTTCAGTCAAAGGAACTTTGCTTAAAACTTAAAGACAGGAAACACGTTAGGATTCTGTTCAAATGGTAGGTACATGAACCTATCGACATGTCAAGACAGGACACAAATCCTTAAAACTGGGCAACAAAGTCTTGAATAAAATCAGCAATGTTTCAGCAATGTTCAGACAAAAGTCATAAAATTCGATTTCACCAGTTCAGTCTCATGTACTTTATCTTGTGTTGTGGTTTGATTTTCCCAATTAAATTCTGGGACATAATATTCAACTCCAGACTTGTCCTTATGATTAAGTTGGCCATTTTCTTAGTTTTTGAACTCTTATTTCTAGGTGACTGTACTTCATTTTCCTGATATAGCACACCCTTGAGAACTTCTTGGAGATCTAGTCTGGTGCTGGTAAATTCTTTCAAGTTTTGTTTATCTAAGAATGTTCTTGTCTTTTCTTCCCACATGAATGATAATCTTGCTGGGTACAGTATTCTTGGTTGAAATTGTTTTTCCCTTAACACTTTGAAAATATTTTCCCATTCTTTCCTTGCTTGCATTGTTTCCGATGAGAGAGATCTGCTGTTATCCCGATGGGATGTCCTTTGTAGGTAACTTGATGTTTTTCTCTTGCCAATCTTAGTATCTTGTCTTTGTCTGTGGTTTTTGTCAACCTGGCTATAATGTGTCTTGAGAAGATCTTCTTGGG